TTCCAGTAACTAGAATCTACTGGGTGGAGGCCATCGCTATCAGGTTGAAGGCCATCGCTTTCTAGTATCTAGATGTAACTAGAAGCTACTTTTTTGGAATTGTTGACAGGACGACGCTCGTCGCGTCGCAGGCGCCGGACGCTTGTCCGCTGCCTTCAGCAGGTCCGGCGAACGGGAGGAGCTCCTGAATGCGTTTTCCAAAGGAGGTTCGACCACGGGGCATGGGTCTACCAAGACAGGGGGGTGAAAAAGTGGACAGAAAGGTATACCGGAGGTGTGCACACCTGAACCTGGTCATCGTATATCCAGGTTTCGAAGTGTTGCAGTGGAGAATCGCAAACAATGTATGTTTGAGACATGTTGGGACGGTCAAAAAAATGGTGAGTGGAATTCCAGGGCCAACATAGATCCAGCTGTTGTGTGCCTTCTGGAAAAATGTTCCCTGACTGGGGGGACCCTTTCAAAGCAGACTTGCAGGTGAGGTGTACCACTGGGCCTCCACCTGAAGTTTGGTTAAAGTACAGTACTGGTGGGTGGTCCCTTTTTCACTCCCGGGTCATACTTTGTGTTATGTATTATATATATATCGTATTATATCGTTGATGCACTATTTCTCAACTCGGGCATCAACTTAACCTTCCCATCTTGTGCATCAGCTGGAGGTGTCACAAAGGGTGAGAACATCAAGTATGATGTTCTCAAAACGTATGTGCTAGTAGCAAGAAGCTACTCAAACGTCACCACAGGGCATTACTACGAACGGAGCGATCGGACCCTACGAACGGGGCGCATGTCCTCGCATGTCCACCGAACGGGGCGCTCCGAGACACGACGAGCGCGAGAGACGACGCCACCAAAGGCGGTTCCTTTTGCTCACCATGATGCTCTGATGATGAGCATTAACAAGAACACCTCCCAAATGGGCCCAGCAGCTAAGCACTATACAACTCAACAGAACTCAACTGAAAATGGAACTTAAGTTTCTCGGACCATGGACTGAACAGAGTTCAGCTCTTGACATTCGGCAGTAGGCAACCCGCCCCATTTCCTGTCGTCCAGCGATCCAGTTCCGTTTAACCCACACCAGGGCACGGCATGGTGGATAAATAATGCTCCAGGAGCTCGGTAATATTGCTCAAAGGCAGGAAGTGCAACACCTGCACCGTGCAGTCTACCGTGCCATGCGCGCCATGTGCTACGTGATCCGTGCGCGAACGGGACTTGCGAACGGGACTCGCGAACGGGACTCGCACTTAGAGCAGTGTGACCCAAAAAGCACGGAAAGGACTGCAAAAAAAGACACTCCCTCCAACATCCTGTTGAGAAGAAAGAATGGACTTCCAACCTCTCCAAGTTCAAAAAATAGGGTCGCCACGATCGACACCCACAATTACAGCACAGCCTTGGAGACCTCGCGCTCTTTTCCGACCGACTGCTGCTCACCGGCGGGAACGGCGGCTGCGGGCGCCGTTGCGGCGGCCTTCCGTGACCTGCGAGGGAGTGCCGAGGGATGTGAGAGACGGACTGCCCGAAATGCTATGTCGGCTTAAAAGTGTTGTCGTTTATGACATCATTGATGAGCTTTTCCCCAAAAAAAGAAAGAACACCAAGGGTTTTCCCCCCCTGGACTGGCAGCCGCGCCAGGAGATGTGCGCTTTGCAGCTCATTGGCATCCACACTGGACTGGCAGCGGCGCCTAGAGCTGGTCACCGTGGGTCCCAGCGGTGGTTACTCGTTACTCACACGTCGGTCTGAAATGAACGCATGTAGTTTTTGTTTGATATTGTCCGTTAAAAAACAATGATATGTAATGAATTACAAATTAAATATGCCAAACATTGTCAAACATTTAAAGAACGGCATAAAACTAAGCGTTGTCATTGTTGGGATTCATCCTGTCACTGTAGACCACAAACAAATAATTGTGAAATAACTGCAGAAAGCTCACATGTGGCATGATTCCAAGCAAGCAGGCACATGTAGGTATCGTCAAGGCAGTCAAAAGAATCAATCCTGAGGCTCTGCATGGCGCATACCCCAAGTCCCTCAAGCGACCCTTTTTCAGTGGTTTTGAAAGCGGTCTCAGGTGGCTCCTGTGTTGACGAGTCTTTCGCTTCGATGTGAACCGAGGAAGGGAGGAAGCATAGGAAGCGTTGTCCGAGGAACCATGGATCCTCACACCGAACACCGGTGTTCTCGTCTGTCACCGGTCTCTCTTGGCATTAACCGATTTCGTCAAGGTCCTCAGCATACAACAGTTCAGGAGTTGCGTGGACACCAACCATTCATGTTGATCAAAATGCCTTTTCTCATCTCTCCTTACATTTAGAAAAGCAACTGCCCAAAAAGGTTTTGCATGTTATTGCGGGTTTGGCGCTGAAACATGCTGAAACCTTCCTCCCCCAAAAAAAATTGACAGGTGCTGAGGAGATGCAAAAAGGACACGCTCAATAAATTGCAAACAATCGTCACCTCCAAGTATCTATAACTTACTTGAAGCATCTTGAAGCGCTCTTCCCACACGCAAACGGTCCGTTCACCGCACCGGCTCTGTCAGGACACCACGTTGAGCGACCGAACCGTGCCTCATTTGGAGGAAGAGCTCCAAGTCTTTGATCTCTTGCTGCAGCTCGGCCACTTCACCTCGTGTCAACACGAACACGGCGGAAAAAAAAGCTCCAACTGCGGCGTTTCACGGAGCGCAGCTAGCCTGAACTGGAGGCTTCTGTGGTTCAACGGCGGTGGCCTGATGTCACATCGTCGTGTGCCACTCATCCCACCAGACTCGGTCGAAAAAGGCAAAAAACAAGAACACACACAAGGAATTGCAGTTGATGATGGTCTTGGTGCATTTGATTTTGGTTCTCTCTTTGGGATGCTTTGATGATTGCATTTTTGGTTAAAGATTGAATGATTTGCGTGCCAATGCCTTGAGCATTCTTGCAAATCTCTTTGGAGTTGTGTGTGAAGCTCTCCCTTCTGGATGTTCAACACTAATCCATCGGGTGATCAACCAGTCGATTCTTAATTGAAAACCCCAAGTGCCAATATTATTGAGGGATCAGGACAAGACTTCTATCCAAAACCAATTCTCATTAACCCTGGTCGGGGTCGTGCGTGGGTGGGTTGGGGTGGGTGGGTGGGCCAGCGGTGGCTGCTGGTCGTGGCTGCTGCCGGCGCTGCCATCAGCCTGAGAAGTGTGCCCCGTCAGCAAGAGGCATGGAGGACCGTGGAGGGGGAGGAAATTGGTAGTTTGGGATCCAAAGCTTGCAAATGGCTCAACCAAATGATTAAGTGTAAATACATCTTAGGATGAGGGGCATTGGTTGAAATCTTTTGAATAATAGGATTGCTTTTATTTTGTTCCATCCCATCAATGTCTTATCAGTCTTGTGATCCATTAAAAGCACCAATGAAATTCATTGGAACTGGAACCACTGCCTTTGTTGTTTTATGATGTAACACATTGCTCCAGCCCGGCCAATAAGGTGCCACATTGAATTGGCCTGGTGTCCCAGACTGCTTGGCTGGGGTGGAGGTTGATGAGGTTGGGCATCGTTGGACTGCTTGTTGGGGCATTCTGTGAGTTTGTTTTCTTTTGGCATCGTGGGACAAATGGGTTGTATTCGAATCTAAAGATATCGAAAGGACCTTTCATCCTAATGAATCATGGTGCAAAAAAACATGTCCATCAAAGATGCCACTTATCATATGACCAGGCTTCACGCAGGATCAAATGTCCTTTTCATAATCATGTTTCAGGATCATGATGACAACTGGTCATCTGCTACACATGTTACCAGTGAGACCGAACCACTCACTTGACCTGTGACTTGGCTGCTAGCTGGGGCCCAAACACGGACTTAGACTGCACGTCAATCATGATGGATTTGCCACCTGATGATGAGGGGCCGAGGATAGACATGGCTCCAGGTGCCATGCAAATGGTACTCGACAGTGCTTCGGAACTCGTTACTCCAGCTCGAAAGCCTCAGCGGTTGCCAGATCTTTCGTAGCTTTGTCACTAACCTCTCAGTCTATTTTCCTGGCTTTACCCAGAGAGTTCTCATTTGGGGCAACATGTTGGCAATAGGTTGACTTTTACCACATCAGTCAGTCATTTAATTGCTACTTTTGGCCATCGAGGACTCCCCAAGACAATAAGATTGGTTGCTGCAAGAAGGGCTGTGTTGCGAGTTTCCGGACAAATCATCACAGACTGCGTGAAGCTGAAGAAACTTGGCTCAATAAACTTGGGAGCTGATTTTTCTGTCATTTTTGAGTCTAAACTTGTTGTTACCCTTCAACTTCCCAACAGTTTTGTTGCAGTTACAATCTTCTCTGGGTGAGGGCCTGCGCGAGAAGATCCAGACCATGAACCAGGAAGAAAGCAATGCTTTCATTCTGGGTCTACTTCAGAAGCTGCCGGTCAAGGAGACCAAGAATCCCGAAGCAGTTTCTTCAGTGAAACCATGGTTCAAGTTTTTCTTTGATTTTGGTATGTTTTATATCCATACACTCACAATGATCTTTCTATGTTGAGGTCTTCTTGTAGAAAGAATCTCTGTTCACCGTACCTCAGGTTTCTTTGGACTTTGCGGTGGCTGGCTTTGGCATGTGTGAGAGTGCCTTCTGCATGCTCCTGGGGGTCAACGAGAAAAGGGTTCCTTGTTTGGAATCATCCCTTAGCCTTGTGCAGCAAATTATATTCCATAGATACGAAGTGTCTCATTTTTTCAAAAAAAGGGTTCATACCCAGGCCCAGCATCAACCATGAAAGAAAAGGTTCAGGATGTTAAAGTCTAACCATTTACATAAGGTTAATCATCCACTCAATGTTTCACCCTTTTTAAGCCAGTCCTGTCAGGTCCGAAGGCTGAAGCTCGGCTTGGGAACAAACAATGTGCCTGTTGACAGGAGGAAATACAATGGCAAGGTGCCAGGTGAAAAGGCTTCATCCGTTGACAGCTTCTTCAGCTATTGCTACTGGAACATGGCATCTTGTTGTTGTGAAAGTTGAAGCCTTTTCTTTCTGTTGAAAGCTTTCCTTTTGTTGTTGAATTTGGCTAGTTTCTGTGAATTGAGGTCCTTGTGTTCAAAAGATTTGGGGTGTCTGAGGCAGAGCCCCTTGCTGAGACTGAAGCAGTTGAAGAAGTGACTGGTGCAGCCCTCTGTGCATCTGGGTTGTTCCTTCCACGTCCCTTCCCATTCATTCAATAAATTGTGCCTTTGGGGTTTGTTTGGGATTCCTTGATGGAATATCTAGAATCAGAAGCCATGCATTCCAAGAAGTCTATTCCATGTGCCATGTTTCCCAAAGCTGTGGCATTCTATCTTTCCATCCAAGGTGCTGTGGATTCGGATCTTCCAGCGAATCTCCTTGACAACACCATTGCTCCCAGCCACAGTGCCCAGACCTTTGCGCAGGTCAATGCTGTGGCTGCGGTGGAGATGATGGCCCCGGGCAACAAGGCATTGGGTGGCCATGAGGCTGATCAGAATGAATCTTTATTTTGCAACTCTTGGTAGTAGGTGAAGGTCCAAAAACAAACTGTTTAATCCAACATAATAAATCATTCCAAAAGTGAGGTATGTCCCCGAGACACATCCAGCACATGACCATGGATGCCTTCTATGAGTGGTACATCATGTGGTGCAATGGGGCTGACATTGCTGAGTCAGACCGGTGCAAGCAACGACGGTTTGTTTACATCTATGAAGAGCGATGGCAATCTGTTGTTCAAATGCGGCATACATCTCAACATGCCAGGCTGGTTGTTATTCTTTGCAGGGATAAGAAAGGTTGAAATATATTTGTTTTGCAATTTAGAATCTGTGGCTACCCAACTCCCTTTAAACCTATTGGCATCTTATGTATGTTTCTATTGGTATACATTGGAGGGTGACAGTGTTCATGTGAATGGGGTGTAACTCATGACGGACTCCACACTTAGCAACACTGAAAGTGGCCTGCTCTTACATTGGAAAAAACAACCATCCATCCCAAGGCAACTCTGGAAGACCAATATCTCAACCATGGCAGGTGCACACAATGTGCCAAGTTCACAGAGCGCATCAAAAATTCCTTGCTCCAGTTGGAACGGGATGCTTTACACAAGTGCCAGGCTGTGCACATCAGGAACATCAGAATGTTCCG